ATAAATTATTAATTAATTATTACTTATAAAACTAATATTTGTTAATATTTTTTTATTTATTACTAATTAAAAACTATAAAATAGTAAAAAAATGGTTTTTTTAGTAGTAAAATAGTTTTATATAAGATATGGAAGTTAAAAAGTTTACAGATCTAAATTACATACCTTTATCTGAACTAGCAAACTTTGGTAGTACTTTTTTAAAAGAGCTCAAAGAATATAGACTAAGTTTTTTGGAAATTATAGTGTTAGATAATTTCAAATTTGTTAATTTAATAGAAACACCAACCCTAATTAAAAAACGCTACTCTAAAAACGTAGAACTAAAAGGGCATATTAATTTAAAAGCTCCTGATAATGACTTTATTTTAGAAATAGCTAAGCAAATTATAAAAGATGAGAAAAATTATTTGATTTCTAACCAGGATAAAAAACTGTTAATGAAACAATTTTATGATAATGATATGGATTTGACTATTATTACTAATTATTTAATTAAAAATATTGATTCTCTTTTTATTAAAAAAAAGACGAATTTCCAAACACCTTTTTCCTAGCTTGAGCAATCATGATCTAACTTTTGTTGAAAGTGCTAATAAAATCGATCAAAATTATATACTATCCAAAACTATATCGATCTAACTAATGTCTCTTATGAAACAGCTAGAAAGTCATTGGAAAAGATGTCGGAATTAGGGATATATCAGAAAATAAAGATAGGCAAGAAATTTGTCTATTGTTATAGTTGGGATAAAAATGAAATTTAGAGATTGGCATAGTGAGACTAGTAATATTAATTTGGAAGCTAACTTATATCCAAAGATACTAGAAAGAAGCAAAAAGAAAGAGTTTAAAAGAGATATTATTCCAAAAGGAATAAATAAAATTATTAGATTTGAGCTGTTTTGATTAAGAGTTTGAATCATAGTCTTACTAATATTGTTTTTAAGCACTTCTACTTGGTTAGGTATTACTATATATACTCAAAATTCTTATTTATCTTATATAGTGCCTAGTATTATTGCATTACTTATTTTTATTTTTATGATTATGGTTTATATTAATTTATATTACTTAAAAAAAGATATAGATCATTATAGAGAAAATATTACTCTAAATATTTATGATATTCCATATCGAATAAAAAGACTTTATATAGTTTATTTTTTAAGACAAACTAGACATAATTGAATTATTATTTTTCTTTTTACCTATGTTGGTACATCAATATTATTGCTTTGATTATTAAAAGATTTTAGTTGATGAATTTTTACTTTTGATTTATGGGTTGAAAGCCTGTCTAAATTAATAGGTTTTACAACCAATACTTTATTAATCGTTTTGGGTAGCATTCTTACTATAAATGTAATTTACTATATAGTAGCTACTATTCAAAGAAAAATAAAGACAAAAGAATTTGAACATTTTTATGGAAAACAATTAAATACTCCTGCTGAAGTTATTCAAGAAAAAAGAATTACTTCTAAGAGATGGCGAAATATTTATATTATTAGTTTAATTATTACAGTTGTAATACCTTATTTGATTATCAAAATTATCAAAAGATTAGTTGTTAGAAAGAGAAAATAAAATTTAAATATTAAAAAATTAAAGTCTATTTTTTAGTTTAACTTACTATTTCAACGAGAGATTTTATATAAATTAAAAACATTTTTCTAAGATCATCGATACTAACTCTTTCATTAACTGAATGCATAGAATCCATATCTCAAGCTGCTCCGAAAGCTACCACATTATCAAATGCTCTAGCATAGGTTCCGCCGCCACCTATAGCTATAGGTTTTGCATCTTTATCACCAGTTACTTCTTTGTATACTTTTAGAATTTTTTGAACAAAATCATCATTTTGATCTAAAAAGATAGGTTTAACATCATCAGTTTTTTTAAATTCTATTGAAGGATAGTTTTTTTCTAATCAATTTTTAATCTTATTTTCTATTCACAATGAATCGAGGGTGGCTGGACAACGTAAATCGATCCCTATTCTTTGATAGCCATCTTTTACTTCTATAATACCTAAGTTAGCACTAAACTCACCACCACTATCATCTTTTGCATTTTCAAATATTGAAACAAAATTATAATTATTATTGTCTTTTCATAATGAATTAATTAAATCAAAAATTAATAAATTTGAATTTTGATATTCTTTTGCAACTTTAAAAATAGCATTATCCCCTTTTTCAGGAGTAGAACCGTGAGCTGCAGTTCCTTTATATTCGTTTTTTACATTATTAGTTTTATCTTCTAAATTAACTAAATCACAAACAACATTGTAAGCATTTCCACCATTTATTATTAATGGTGTATTTTCTTTTGCTATTAAGTCAAAATTTATTATTCTTTTTTCTGCAAAAATTACCGGAAACTCTCCATCAGGAGTATAACCTAAATCAGGCACTTTTTCATTTTTAATATAATGATCTATTGAATCTCAAGTAGTTTCTTCTGTTAAACCCAAAAATCAATCTAATTTTGTATGTTTTTGGAATTCAATTTTGATCCATTCAATATTTAATTGCATAGATATTTAAAATTGTTGGACCTTTATCATCAAGAACTCCTCTACCATATAAAAAATTATTAGCAATTTCTCCACTAAATGGTGGGTAGTCTCATTTATTCAAATCGCCAGAAGGAACAACATCTAAATGACAAATAATTCCAAAAAGCTTTTCTCCATCTCCATATTCAGCATAACCATATCTATTTTCTGGATCTTTATAAGTTTTAAAAACCTAGTTTATTGCAAATTTCTAATGTTTCTTCTAAAACTTCTTTAACAGCTAAACCATATGGGGCATCTTTTTCAGGTTTAGAAGCAAAAGATGGAATTCTAACTATATTTTGAATATCCTTAATAGCATCATTGAAATACTTTTCTACTAAATTGTTGTCTAAATTTTTGTTCATAACAATAATTTTAGTTAAAAAACAAATCAAATATTTAAAGTTTTACTTATTTTTATTCTTCGATACTAATAGTTGCTTTTAAAATAACAGGGTTTTCGATTTTTTGCGCTCAATCTATTACGTTATAACATACTAGTTGCCAAGTCATTTTTAAAATGGCACTACTAAAAAATAATGCATATGAAGGTCAAATATTTTCTGTTCAATAACCACCAATAGCATAAGCTATTACTCCCATAGTTAAAGCAGCTCATCCTATTTGGAATGCATTTAAAAACATATCTCCGTAAGCAAATCACTTAGTTTTACCACCTTGAACTCCATTACGATAAAGTGTTGCTCCTAAAGTAAAAATTGGATAGTAAAAAGCAAGAACATATAAAGCTTGGGCAGCTTGGAGCAAACTAGGTTCGGGTTTAATATTTTGTAAATCATCAGCATTAATAAGTGCACTTTCAAGGTTGCGCATATTAAGACCTAAAATTATCAGTAAAAAAGAAGTAAAAACTCCAAAAGTTAAGTTAAATCCAATTAGTTCTTTAGAATTCTTTTTCGCTTTTTCGATGTTATTTTTAGCTAATTGATATCCCACAAAGTTTACAGCCATCACACTAGTTGCAGTTAGACCAACCGAAACTACTTGAAAAACTGTGTTAGCAATAGCAAGAACAAAAGGGGCTCCACCGTTACCATCCAATGTTCCCATTGGAAATGCTCATGCATAAACAGCTGAACGCATTGTAACTAAAACAATTAAAATAGAACCTGCTAAAAATAAATTGAATCTTCTAAAAAAGATTCTTAGTGTTGATTCACTGATCTTAAAAAGACTTCACGGCGAAAACCTTAATTCTAATTTCTTTTTTCAAATATAAAATACTGCAAAAATAAAAGCAAAAGCAACAATTCTAGAACTAACAGAAGCTCATGCGGCTCCATCAGCTTCTAAATTCTTTGCTCCAAACAAAGGGTTAAGCCATCTCATTAAAAAAAGATTCATTGTTATGTTAGTTCCTAAAGTTAAAACAGACCAATAAAAAGGCGCTCTAGCATGACCTATTTCACTAAGTTGATCAGTTAAGTTGGCAGTAATAGAGATTAGTAATCATTGAATAGCAATAATCCATAGATATTCTTTGGCATGCTTAAAAGAATTTTCATAATCACCAGAAACTCCACCACTTTTGTCTTCTTTTTTTAAAAAGACCTTTATTAATTGATCTGGAAATGATCAAGCTGCGACTGCAAAAACTAAAGCGATTGAGAAACTAAAGATAAACCTAATTTTAGCTACTTCTCTAAATTCTTTATATTGACCAGCATAATAAAATCTAGCCGAAAGAACACTACCTAAGGCAGTAGTACCAAAACCAATTCCTAAAACTATGGAAGTTCATTGATTGGCAGCACTAATTCCAGTTATTCCATTAAACGAAGAAACCATAAAGTTATCAACAAACCCATTAAAAGCATATAAAACGCTTGAAATAGTGATTGGAAAAAAAATAGAAAAATACATTTTCCATCTTTTGTAGCTTTTTGGAAAAAATTCTCCAATTGATTTAAAAAAGGTTACATTTTTAGACATTTTTTTAGTTTTTGTTTCATTATTAAAATTAATTATAAATTAGCATAATTAACTATAATTATTGTTTTTAATAGTTATTTTGTTAATTTCTTTTTTTATCTTAAATTCTATTAATTTTTTATTGTTTAATTCTATATTATTTTTTAATTTTGTTTCTAAAAATTCTTTTTTAGTTATAGCCCTAGTTTCACATCAATTTTGTCTTTACTCACTAATGATGATGTAAAAATTTTGACTTGATCGTGATCAGTGATCAAAATTCCGCTAGATATAGCATATATTAATGTTTTTTTGTTGCTATGTAAATAAATAGTAAGCTGTCCTATATCAATATTACAAATCATAGGTTCATTATTTTTTTGAAAAGCTATATAACCATTAGTAGTTTTTAAACTAACTAAATAAACATAGTCATCAAATTCAATTTTATTTGGATGAAAAATAGTTAATTTAATATTGTTTTTTGCTATTTCCATTTTTATTTTGATAACTTTTTAGCTTTTTTTATTACATCATTAATGGTAGCAACATACAAAAAGGCTTGTTCGGGTAAATCATCGTATTTACCACTTAGTATTTCAGCAAAAGAATTTATTGTATCTTCAACTTTTATAAATTCACCTTTGATGCCAGAAAACTTTTCAGCCACAAAAAATGGTTGAGATAAAAAGTTTCTAATTCTTCTAGCGCGTTGAACTATTTGTTTATCGGTTTCTGAAAGTTCATCGATTCCTAAGATTGCAATAATATCTTGCAATTCTTTAAATTTTTGCAAAATTTGAATTACTTGTTGAGCTACTTCATAATGTTTTTTACCAACGATCTCTATCGAAAGTGCTTGAGATGCAGAATTTAATGGGTCTATGGCAGGATAAATACCTAGGGCAGCAATATTACGATCTAAAATAGTTTTTGCATCTAGATGGGCAAAAGTAGTAGCTGGGGCTGGGTCAGTTATATCATCAGCCGGTACATAAATAGCTTGAATAGAAGTAATAGAACCATTTTGGGTAGAAGTAATTCTTTCTTGAAGTTGGCCCATTTCTAAAGCCAAAGTTGGTTGGTATCCAACCGCTGAAGGGATTCGACCAAGTAAAGTAGATACTTCAGAACCAGCTTGAGTAAAACGGAAAATATTATCTATAAAAAACAAAACATCTTGTTTTTGTTCGTCTCTAAAATATTCTGCCATAGTAAGACCTGTTAGAGGAGCTCTCATTCTTGCCCCTGGTGGTTCATTCATTTGGCCAAATACTAGCGCTGTTTTGTTTAAAACATTAGCATTTATCATTTCATTATATAAATCATTACCTTCTCTAGTTCTTTCACCCACTCCTGCAAAAATAGAAATCCCACCATGTTGAAGTGCAATGTTATTAATTAATTCTTGAACAAGAACTGTTTTTCCTACACCAGCTCCTCCAAAAAGACCAATTTTTCCACCTCTAACATATGGAGTGATTAGATCGATCACTTTAATACCTGTCTCTAAAATTTTTACTTCTAAAGATTGTTCGTTCAAAGTTGGAGGAGAACGATGAATTGATCATAATGGAGTTTTTTGATCGATTTTTTTGAGTTTATCAATAGGTTGGCCTAAAACATTGAAAACCCTACCCAAAACTTCTTTACCAACAGGAACCATAATAGTTTTTTGAGTATCTATTACTTTCATATTTCTGACTAAGCCAAAAGTATTGCTCATCGAAATACACCTGACACTATTATTCCCGATATGTTGTGCTACTTCTAAAGTAATATTTAATTCTTCTACAATTAAAGCACTTAAAAGATTTGGTAATTTTTGTTCGTCAAAGACAACATCTACAATCGCCCCAAAGACTTGACTTATATATCCACAGTTTTGTTTTATTTTTTTATTATCTAGATTTTCCATTATAAACTTCCAATTATTTCTGCTATTTCTTGAGTTATATTAGCTTGTCTGATTTGATTAAATTTAAGAGTTAATTTATCTATTAACTCAATTGCATTTTGTGTAGCTGAATCGGTTGCATTTCTACGATAACCATATTCTACTAATTTTGATTCTAAAATCGCATAATGGAATCAAACAATTTATTAAAAAAAACTTATTTTTTTCAAAAAGGGATAATGCATTTTCTTCAAAAGTATAAGTTTGTTTTCCTAATTCATCATTTTTTGTTTTTA